TTTACGGATTTTTGAGGCTCTTTATACAGGTCCGAAGAGGTTGACATGTGTGGCTAACTCTCCTAATTTTGCTGAAGTTGCTAACTCTGCTAACACTGTCAACTCTGCTAACTCTCATAATTCTGATAATGTTGCTAACGCTAAATAACACTTGTAACTCTTCTAACGCTGCTAACTCTGCTAACACTAATAAGACTTCCAACTCTTTTAACTATGTTAACTTTGCTAATGCTGCTAATGTTCRGTGGGAGTTCCGCAGGGTAGCATACTGGGCCCATTGCTTTTCCTATTATACAGWACATAAATGACCTTCCAAAAATACTGAAGTATTCAAATATTTTAATGTATGCTGATGATACTGTTCTTTTTTTGTCTGATTTCAATATTGAATCTATTAATAGTCAGGTACAAGCAGATCTTCAGACATTTCYTGGTTGGCTTCAAGATAATCTTTTGTCAATTAATGTTAAAAAAAACTGTGTGCATGTATTTTTCCTCACCCAGYWGACATTTCAATATAACAAATCAACTCACTTTTTTAAACAAACCCCTTGATATTGTCACTACCTACAAATATCTTGGAATTACTTTGGATTCTCATTTGACTTATCGTGATCATGTACAAGTCTTAACCACTAAGTTGAAACAGAAATTATACGTTTATTCAAAAATTAGATCCAATCTGACATCTTCTGTTTCAAATATCTATCTTCATGCCATTATACTCTCAACCATGTCGTACTGTTTACCTGTTTGGTCTCTTACAACAAATGAAATCTTAGAACCCATAGTTAGGCTCTACAACAGGGCCTACAAAATTCATAAAAAACTTCCTGGTTGGACTCATCACTGTACAGTTCTTTCATTGTCCGATGCCTTGACTTTTCAGAATTATGTTTTGTATAGTGGTATTAATTTATATTTTCAGATCTTCCAAGGTGCCAATTATGGAACTCTCTGTGCATTGTTGCCCAAATCAAATTCTGGAAGTGGTCATTCAACTAGATCTGTTACAAAAGGACAACTGATATTACCAACTTTTAAAAACTGTTACGGCCAGAGGTCTTTCTTCTATGTTTATACTAAAGCATGGAATGACATTCCTCAAAACATAAAGTCCATTTCAAAACTACAGCCCTTTAAGAAGAATCTTGTCTGCCATCTGCTGGTCACTGTTTTTGTGCTCATATTTAGACGTCCTATTTTGCAAATGCTGCCCTCCTGAAATTTGGTWTGCTTGTTTGTCTTTGTGTCTATGGTGTATAATGATGTGATTGTGATGCTGTATTTCTGAGTGTTTATGTGCTGCAGAACAGGAACCTGCTGTAAAACAGCAATTATGCTGAGTCAGGCTTGATTTTTAGTAATCTTTTCCTGTTAAATAAATAAATCAAAATCAAATCAAATCAATGCTGCTAACGCTGCTAACTCTTCATCCCTACATGACATTAAACTTGCAGTACCATCCGTTTGTTATCAGTGAACACATTTTGAATTTAAATGTTAACTCCTATCTTCAGCAGTGTTACCAGGGTTAGTGGTTGCTTTTGTCGCAGGGTGATGACATCATTACAAAAGCCGCACACCAACGACCAAGGTCTGCATTACATTTTAAATTTCCTGAACTTTAACATTTACCTACTAAATTTAAGGTTCAACTTTTACATTTAGATTTAAAATTTAATATTTACATGTCTTATTCAACATTTAAATTTGTAAAATGCAAGAACAGTGAGCTAAATAATGAAATGTTAGTGGAACTTTTTTTAGCTTAGTGCCACAAAACCCAGAATTAAACAAATATTGAGGTAAAACTTGAAGTGGTGGTAATCTGTTTTTTTATATATATATTTGACCAAAACGACCACAGTCTTGTAGTTTCTAAAACAGTGTTTTATAAAAGGATTTTACTCCGTTAATCCAGGTGTCTTTCGTCAGATTGGTAATAATATTTGTAAATCCAGACACTGAAAGCAGTCAGGCCATCTCTTCGTTCAGGGTAAACAGCAGATATGGAGGGAAAATAAAACACTTCTAGTTCGGKTCAGCTGATGAAAGTGTCACACCAAGGGGGAAGCTGGGGGGTGACAGTGAGCCACCCACCGGACTCGTTCGGCTCGCCTCCCACCAACCTTGGAGTGGCGGGAGTCAGCATCTCTGAGGAGTGCCTCAGAGATGCCGTGCTGAATAATGTGTCCTATGAATAAAACACATTAAGCTACAAAACATGTTGAATTATTCACATTTCAGAGCCTCCGTCCCTCCAAACGCAGGACGTATTAGTTCTTCAGTCCTTTGAGTCTCTGTCTCTGATCATTCCTCCCTTTGCTTTTTTTTCTTAATCCCTCTTTGTTCTTCTGTCTCTCCTCTCAGCTGAATTTGTGCTGATGTCTATTTTTACCCCCCAGAGTTACTACTTTTTCCTGAAAACGTCTGGCTGTTTACGCGAGGAGCTCTCAGCGCCGCAGAGGAGCGCGTTTGTTCTGATGCGGGTCTTTGATGACTCGGTGACACACAGAGATCCAAACTGGATTCATCACCGAGGACTAATCTGAAGCCACCAGCTGTGAATTTCAAGGAGAAAAGAATAAATTAAGGAAAAAGAGCGAGATTTGCTAATTAAATACTTGACCTAATATCTGTTTCACATCCTCAAGATTCATTTTTTTTATTTTAGCGTTTGCAACATTTGCACCAGAAGACAACACGATGTGTTTGTAAGCAAAATATATCATAAACCACTGAACGGATTTTGATGTAACTTGCAGGAAATATTGATCTGATAATCAGCAACGACTTGTTAAATTTTCAAGTCATTTTAGTTAAAATGGTCGCCAAATCCAACAGATCTCAGCAAACACAAAACCAGCAATAACTCAGTCAGTTTCATAGATATTAAGTTAAAATTTGGGAAAAGGGTAGATGACTAACTCACAACACAGACTCTAAACACTGGAGGAGAGTTCATGACTTTATATGAAGAAACCAGAGAACTGGACCTTTGATGCTTTTGTAATTGATTGGACACATACATGGTCTAGTAATTCTATTGTTATTGGGACGTTGCATTGACTTCCATTCATGTCTATGGCCAAACCCTGACCCCTTACCCCAGACCTAACCCTAAACCTGACCTAAACTTAATTTATACCTTAGTCCTAGGGATGCACTGATATGAAAATTTCAGCCGATATCAATATCTGATATAATTATTGCTGTTATGGCCGAAAACTGATATTAGTGCTGGGCGGTATACCGTTTTGTACCAAAAAATGGTTTTTATTGTTGTTATGATTTGACTTTTCTGAAAACCGGACATAGCGGTTTAAATGGCCTGAACACGCTCGGAACGTTTCGTCACGGCTGCCAGTGAACTGTTTCCCGGGGGACACTTTTCCTCGCAGCACCGCTATGCGCGTTAGCATGCTAATGTTATTGTTGGAGAAACTGGCGGCGGGTGGTGTTTCAGCTGCTTATATTGACCACCATCGCTGAATGTAGTAAACAACTCTTCAGTGACGTGCACGGTTAGATTTAATGTTATAATGGAGACGTTAATGGAGACTTTAACGTGCTTCTATTGTGAAAAGCCCGGGGGAAGTAGTTTTGTAATGTAGCTGAGTTGACTGGTGTGCAAGGTGAGTCGTCCTTTTAAGTTTTATTAACACACAATAGACCCGGTAATGATCTTTTCTCAAACCTTCACAATCGGACCAAAATGCATGATTACTGTCTACAACCAGGCAGAGAAGAAAAGACGTACAAGAGGAGGAAACAGCCTCACAGACAGAGGTACAGTAAAAGAAAAAAGTCACTAAGCAACATTTGTACATTTTATTATCAGCTGAGCTGTGATGACAAAAAAATACTGTCAAATACCGTGAAACTGGTGTAATTGTTGAAAATACCGTGATATAAAATTTGGGTCATACCACCCAGCTCTAACCAATATTTACCGATATTACACAAACGCACAAATTATATTATACATATACGCACAAACACAGAACTCTGACTCTCTGCTTCAGTTTTTCCTGGCTATGCAGCATCAGTATCACTATCATGATCAAACAGATGTCGRTCAACTAATCATCTCTCCTCCCAAAACTGAAACTAAAGATAAAAAGTGGGAAATCAGTATTGGATGTTAATATTGGCCCAGTTTAACATACCAGACCCATACCGATATTCTKAAAAATAACCAATATTGGCTGATACCYYTATTAATGCCGARATATTATGCATCCCTARTTAGTRKTAAACCTAATCCTCGAACCACAGATGGGGTTTTTCCTTTGTGTGAACCATGTAAAATGTCCTCACAAGTACAGTCTAATGTAAAATGTCTCCACACACACACATTTCTCTCCTTTAGCTTCCATGTCAACAAATGTAGGGATCTGTCCCAATGGGGACCCTCTTAGCAATCAGTTTCTAAGGTCCTGGATCAGATCCTACACTACAGTGGTGATGATGAGGAGTGAGACCAGGAACCGAAGAAAGGTCTGAAAGAGTCCGAGTCCAACCAAGAGACAACCAATCCATTGAAGAGGATATGATACTCTGAGATGATACTTTTATCCATTTATTTAGTTTTACCCACCGTCTGCAGCKAACACTGTGCGAGGAGACAAGAGATGTTGTAGTGATAACGTTATTAAAAATCATTTAAACACAAATGTAGCTCTATGTGGTAAAGAGGACAACACAGTCTGATGGGAATTTGTTTTCCAGCTGCTCAATTTTACTAAAAAACAATGTCTCAATAAAAACCCAACATTTTCCAGAAACCAGTGACCCGGGAGAACGATTGAACATGATGAGGCAAAGCCACTTTTGTTTGTTTCCTGCAGAGTCGAAACACAAACGTCAGATTCTTCAGCCACATATCAGAACCACACAGAGTCATGCTCAGAACGAGCCAAAAAATCCAGAAAAGATCAGAAAGCTGCTTTGATTTCCTTCACATTTCTCAGACAAAGTGATTTCTGTGAACTCACCAGGGCGCAGTACGTCTCTGGAGGGTCTCCACAGGTGATGTTGGGGGGATCCAGGGTAACCTTCAGGAACTGGGTCATGTCTGCCGCCTCCGGCTGGCAGGCCATGTAGTCCCAGGTGAGACCCTCYTCGGAGTAAACCTGAGACTTGCACACGTCGTAGTGGCCCCACGCTGCCGGGTAGTTCTGAACYGCCGCCTGGCAAACGCCGGTCCAAACCACCTGCAGCGCCAACGCCAGGCAGAAATGCATGACTGGTCCTCTCTCAGCTCCCACCATCGGAGCCGTGGTTCCGTCTGAAGACGCACAAACAAGGGATTACGTCTTTTCTCCCAGTTTTGTCCTCACTTAATTGTAGGGAGGAGGCATGTCAGACTCCCTTAAGGGGGGGAGCGTGGGTTGGCTTAGAAACTTTGTGTTGTTTCAGGGGTTTTTTCTGTCCTTTTCACGTTTCTGGAGAATCTGAGAGGTTTCAGGCCCAAAGATGAAAGGAAAAAGAAGAAGTGATGGGGGATGAGCAGTGTCGGGTCTCCTCAGCTCTCCAGGCTGTCAATCATATTCCACGTCCTGTGTGATGATCTGGAGCTGCGGGGAAACACAAGGAGAGCAAAGATGAGCAAATCTCCTTTTTGGGAAGAGATACCGACACCGAGGAGACATWACAGCAGGGGGAGGAAAGGTGTTTGTGTGGACAGAAAGCTGGACGMGTGTGAGGAAGAGGTGCCATGTTTGTGTTTGCTGTCCATCAAAACAAAGAAAGTCAGTACGTGAGGCCATCAGGGTAAACTAGATCCTGCTGCTCTCACACTAAAACCTTGAGTCTACAGCGTTATAGATTTCTGCTGCTCACACAAACATCATCTCTCTTGAGCACAATGAAATATAATGATCCATACAGATTATCAGTGCTTTGTTTTATCAKAAAAGTTCTGTAGACCTGAGGTTTCCCAACTTTTCAGCTTCATTCTACATGTGGGGGGCGCAGCTAAACAAAACATTAGCTTCACTAATTACCAATCCACTACAAGAAAACAAGAATCTTTGCTCCACTAAAACTAATCCACTAAACAAGAATCTTTGCTCCACTAAAACTAATCCACTAAACAACAATCTTAGCTCCGCTAAAACGAATCCACTAAACAAGAATCTTAGCTTCGCTAACACTAATCCACTAAGCAAGAATCTTAGCTCCGCTAAAACTAATCCACTAAACAAGAATCTTAGCTCCGCTAAAACTAATCCACTAAACAAGAATCTTAGCTCCGCTAAAACTAATCCACTAAACAAGAATCTTAGCTCCGCTAAAACTAATCCACTAAACAAGAATCTTTGCTCCACTAAAACTAATCCACTAAACAAGAATCTTTGCTCCACTAAAACTAGTCCACTAAACAAGAATCTTAGCTCCGCTAAAACCAATCCACTAAACAATTATCTTAGCTCCGCTAATCCACTAAATAAGAATCATAGCTCCGCTAATCCATGAAACAAGAATCTTAGCTCAGCCAATGCTAATACTCTAAAACGATTTTAAAAAATAGTGGAAGCTAATGCTAACCGCTAAGATTACCATCAGACTTCATCTCTGTCCAGTTGAACAGGTAGGACTSACTCCAACCAGTTTTCTATTGGTTTAATATGAAGGTGGGCAGGGTCATCTGAGGCAAATCAGCCAATCCAAACCAGTTAAAGCCCCATCTAACTTGTGATACTTCTAGTTTACCCCTTTTCAGCATAAAAACATTACTTTGATTGAGTTTGTATTTTTTATAAATACTGTTTGACGTTAGTCAAATGACAAATACCAAATACTTTCTCTACCATATTTTTTATGTAGTCAGTTTTTGTATTTGCTATTTAAATATTGTTAAACATTCTTTTATTTCTTTTAGAGTTTCGTAAACTGCGTAAAAAGAGAGGTTTTTACACTTNGTCAGTTTTTGTATTTGCTATTTAAATATTGTTAAACATTCTTTTATTTCTTTTAGAGTTTCGTAAACTGCGTAAAAAGAGAGGTTTTTACACTTTGTGAATTTTTTTAATGGACTTAAATTAGCAGAACCCAATTTAGCAGAAGAAGCTAACTGGTCCGCTAATGTTTTCTAAATGAGAAGCTAGTTCTGCRATTAGCGGATTGGTGGAACTGTTCCCACCGCTACATCCTACAAAATAAAAGTCACAGAGATTTGTGACTCCAACTGTCACTGGGTAAAGGACAGAGTCCATCATACTTTAAAGAGTAGAGGGACCATCCGGTCTGTTATCAGCACACAGTTCTAAAACCTGCCTCTCTGATGGGATGGGGGTGCATTAGTGCCTCMAGCATGGGAAGCTTACACATCTGGAAAAGCACCTTGAATGCAATAAAGTCTCTCCAGGTTCCTGGATGTTAACAGACTGATGGATTAATAAACTTTAGCTTCTTGCTGTGATGTTAACTTGATGTTATTTAATAAAGCTGAGGTGGCAGACAGCTACACACAGGTCAGCATCGTTTTATGTCACGAGTCAAACTGATGAGTGAAAATCTGTTTCTTTCATGTTAGTTTTTAATCAAAAACAAAAATCAGAAGCCTGCATGATAATTAAAGCATCATGTTTCATATCGCAGACAGCTCTCTGATCCATTATTTAATGATTAATACATGTACCTTCAAAATAAGAGTTCCCGTTAACAAAATAAAACACTTGTTCTAACTGGATATTGCTCCGTTCTTGTGTAAAATCAGCAGGTTGAGGCTGAGTTCAGGTTTTAAAGCCATGGAAGTGGTGGATCTGCCCATACCAGGAGCCTCAGCAGTTTATCACACGCAGTGATTTATTTCATACGGCGCACAGCCTCCATTTATATCTGCCAAGCCGGCGAGGCCACGGCTTCTGTGAGCATCCTGCTGCAGCGCTTTTACCAGCTTCTCCTTCTGAATAACACGACACCGCTGTTAATTTCTTATGTTTTCTTACAGCTTATTTTAGTAGTTGACCTTTTAAYAGTAGTCAACGTCTCAGCAGCACCAAGGCCGCGTGGTTCCTGCTTTTAACGTTCCTTTGAGCTGGAAAAAGAAACAAACTTTAATGAGATGTTTAAATAGTGGAGRTGTAAATCGTTGGTTTGTGATAGAATAAAACAGAATAAAACAATATGATGCTGTCTTTTTATTCAAACCGTAAAAACACGAAAMTGTTGGGAAGGATTCTCAGCTTCTACTAAATTAAATCACTCAGTTATAACCATTAATGTCTTTCTTAATGCTCATTAAATGGCAGCCATCTTGATGTGGACGGACTCCAAATGTTAACCAGTTTTAATTGTAAATTCAAAGATTATTCCCTGAAAGTTTCATTAAAATTTGTTCAAGGAGGCAGTTTTAGTTWAACAGCTTTCAGCATCAGGACGTAGGATCATTTAAAGCAGGGGTTCACAAAGTTAGGGTCGAGACCCAAAGTGGGGTCCTGAAACATAAAGGTGGGGTCCTGAAAAGATTTTGAATTAATAACACTAAAAAATGAGAACAATTTTTTTTTTGCCTTTGTTGTTACAGCAGAGTAATGRTAGTGTCCTTACAATGGAGAAAAAAAATCATAATAAATATTGTTTTTGTTTATTTGACATGAAAACAGTTTATTAACCAACAACAGCTGAGGGTACAGGTGAAAAGTTTGGGAACCACTGATTTAAAGCACGCGTTCTCAAATATTTTGGGTCTGGGGACCCCTTACAAAGGTGAAACATTTCCAGGGACCCCC